AGCCTAGAAATAAGGAGGGATTTTCTGACAGTGAGAACAGAAGTTGTGGGAGTTTCATCACTTGACACTTTCAAGAACATAACAATGAACGGTTGTAGGAACTGGGCATGGCTGGTCTAGGGAAGAGAAGGACCAGGGGAGACAGGATAGCAGCCTTCCAATATTTGAGGAGCTGCTTGAGAGAGGAAGGGTGTGTGTGTCAAGCTATTCTCAAAAGCACCTGAAGGCAGACAAGGAGTAATGGATGGAAACTGAACAAGGAGAGCTTCAGCCTAGAAATAAGGAGGGATTTTCTGACAGTGAGAACAGAAGTTGTGGGAGTTTCATCACTTGACACTTTCAAGAACATAACAATGAACGGTTGTAGGAACTGGGCATGGCTGGTCTAGGGAAGAGAAGGACCAGGGGAGACACAATAGCATCTTCCAATACTTGAGGGGCTGCCACAGAGAGGAAGGGGTTAAGCTATTTTCCAACGCATTGGAAGGCCAGAGAAGGAATAATGAATGGAAACTGATCAGTGAGAGAATCAATCTAGAAATAAGGAGGAATTTCCTGACAGAACAATCAATCCATGGAACAGAAGTTGCTTTCAGAAGTTGTGGGAGCTTCATCACTGGAGATTTTCAGGAAGAGACTGGACTGCCACCTATCACAAATGGGTGGGTGGGTGGGTGGGGTTGGACTAGATGACCTACAACATCCCTTCCAATTCTTAATATGTAAACTGTGTAAAGTGGTCTCTCAGCAATGGATCCCATACACCAGATTATGCTATTTAGGGCTGGGTGAACGTGGGTGGACTGCTACTGAGCTAAAAGTGAGCCTGTCTCCTGAAGCTAAAAGAATCTTAATTTTTCAGTTCAGGGCAAGAAATGCTTGGTCAGACAACTGCCTGCGTTTGGCTTCATCACACAATACACTTAACCTGATCGTTGGATTAGCCTTATTTTGGGGCTGATAACAATCAGTTGCATTTCAGTTAACTAAAGGAACTGAAGTCCATGTATTATAAAACTATAGCTGTTTGAAGCCAGCCTGGGAGTCGGCAGCATGGATCCTACAGAGAGCATGTCTAATCTTTGTTTTGAACTGGCTCCCCCAGCTAAGGATCAACCATCATGTCCTTGAAGCAGAATCCACAAGAGAGAGGGAGAGAGGCCATTTATTTACATCAGATAGACAACGATTCTCTCCTCACCCCAGCTACGCTCACCTGGAGAATCCCCGTCAGTTCCACAAAAACTGCTTTCCTTTCTTCTCATCCTTCCCCATCCCAAAATTTTTTCCCGTCTGCCTGTGGAGGCCATGTGGCTCCCCTGCGGCCTGCTTGCTCGGAGGCCTTAGACTCAGTTGGGAAGAGGGGAGCCGCCCTCCTTGTCCTTGTCCTTGTGGCTTCCCAGGGCCTCTCTAGGAATATTGGGTGTTGGAAATTTTCTTCCACAAGAGGGTCTTGAGGCTGTTGAGCACCAGCGAGTGGTGCACCTCCATTTGGCTGGCCAGCCCACTGAGCGTGGTGCATGTTTTCAGCTGCTTCTGCAGCTCCTCCTTCAAGTCGCTCGGGGCCCCGTGCAGCAGGTACTCCAACAGGAGCCCACACACCTTGGCGAGGTTGGGCTGGACTATGTCGCTCTTGCACTGCTTCATGAGCTTATCGCACGGCGCCACGCAGTCCTTCCCATAGGTGCAGTCCGTGTTTTGCTCACAGTGACGGCCCTTCAGGAACCTCTGGATGGTCATCTCAGCAGCCACCGTCCTGAGGTCCACCATTTTGAAGTCGTATCTGTTATTGTACCCCATGTGGGTGAAGCCGGCCTCGCAGATGTAGAAGTTGCCATAGGTCCCGTGGAAGATCTCCTCCACAAATTCCAGAAGTCCAATGGCGATTTTGGCCCGCCGGGGCCAGGCGGGGGAGAACCACTGGCGAATGACTCTGAGGACAGCGGAAGGCAGCAGCGGCTGCAGGAAGGGAGGGAAGTCCATGGTGTGGAGGGAGGTGTGGTGGATCTTCTCTGTGAGGTACAGGTCACCGCAGTGCCCCAACAGCCTGGGAGTGTGCTCCTTCTCGTGCAGGGAGAAGGTCAGCAGGAAGTCGTTCAGCTGCAGAAGGGCCCAAATGGATTTCGCTTCGGCCAAAGAAAGCTTCCCGTCCCGACTGACGTCGGCCATGGCGATAATCTGGCTAACCAAGTTGGTAAGGGAGGCTTGATCCCCAAGGCCAGCCTGTGAAAACAAAGAACAACCCAGGACTTCTTGTGAGGACCTCACATTACAACATGGTAAAGCAGGGAGGAACATTTAGAATAGAATAGAGCTGGAAAGGGATCTTGGAGGTCTTCTAGTCCAGCCCCCTTCTCAAGCAGGAGACCCTATACCCAGGATGGCGAACCTATGGCGCGCATGCCACCTGTGACTTCTGGTTTGCTTATAGGGTCATTTTTCGTCCTCTGGAGCCTTCAGGGAAGCCTCCGGAAGGCTCCTGAAGGCTCCAGAGGGCTTAAACCACCCCTACAAGCAATCCGGAAGTCCATTCCTGAACTCCTGGTTTGCCCATAGGGCTGTTTTTTGCACTCCAGAGGCTTCAGGGAAGCTCCTGAAGCCTCCAGAGTGCCTCCGGGGGCGGGGGAGGCTGTTTTCGCCCTCCCCAGGCTCACATAAAGCCTCTGGAGCCTGGGGACGGCGAAAAAAGCATGCAAAAAAATGGGGGGGGTCATGCCTGTCATGCACACATGCGCACTGGGGGGGGGCTTCGTGCATTGCATTATGGGTGTGGCACGCCCACGCATGACCCCTTTGCGCTCCCCCTGCTTATGGCATGTGAGCCAAAAAAGGTTCGCCATTGCTGCCCTATACAATCTGAGACACTTGACTGTCCAGTCTCTAAAAAACCTCCAATGATGGAGCACCATTGGACCGTAGGCACCGTTGAGCTGTGGTTCAATCTAAGCATAGTACACAAAATTGTCTGCTACAATGTCTTACCTATCAACGACTTCTTCAGCATCAACCTCAATAATACACGGGCAAACAATCAGTACAAACTCAAAGTAAAGCGCTCAAAACTCGATTGCAGAAAATAGGACTTCAGCAATAGAGTGGTCACCGCCTGGAATGCTCCACCTGACTCCGTTGTTACAGCCTCAAACCCCCATAATTTCAACTTTAAACTGTCTACCGTGGACCTCACCCCATTCCTAAGAGGTCCATAAAGGGGTCGTGCATAAGCACACCAGCTTGCCTTCCGTCTCTGTCCTACTGTCCCCATTTATCTGTATTTACTTCCTTTGTTCATGTTTATGTTCATACAGATACTTGTTATCTTGTACATGTTTGACATACAAACAAACAAACAAAATAAATCATTTCCAAGACCGACATTTAATCTGGAGGCTCCGCCTTCCATGGGGTAGCCCCCCCCCTTAAAAAAGGCCTTCTCTCCAACGCAATGCACTTGTCTGCCCATCTGCTCCCACATTCTGTGGCAAGGGGCAGCCTGCCACATTGCAAGCCACAATCGCAGGTGTGAATTGGCCCCTTGAGAGGTGGTTCAAAGGTCTTCTCCTCGAAATGGAGAGGAACTCACCTTCAAGAAATTCAGAAGCATCTCTCGGAATTCATCCATGGATGTTCCCCTCGTTGGCTTGTTGAAGAGAAGCACATCCCTCCTGGGATCTGCATCTGGGTTGCTGTCAGCCTTCAGGGCTTCTTCCAGGCCACATTTGATAATCACTTCTTTCTCCTTCCAGAGGCCGCTGTAAACCTGCAAGACACAACAAAAATGGTTCCTGGATTGTGTTAAACTGCCTTAACCTCAGCAGCTGGAGACTTACAATGTGCATTGTCTCGATATACGATTGGGATTGAGCCCAGAATTTTAGGTTGGTAAGTCCTGACAGCAAAGCGAGTTGTCCCATGACCATGCCCGACTTTTTAAAGTGGCCGTTGTTAAATGAAGCTGTAAAGAAAATGCAGTGGTTGTTAATTGAACTCATTGTACACGCTGGAATATTGTTTTTGCAAAAATTGAAAGTATATACTGGTTTCTAGAAAAAAAAACTGCAAATCCCAGTCATGTGACTGTTTCCCTGTATGTCGACCATGAAGATGACATTTAACAGATAACAAATGAACAGAGTTGGAAGGGATCTTGTAGGTCATCTAGTCCAACCCCCCGCTCAAGCAGGAGATCCCACGCCAGTGATGGCAAACCTTTTTTGGCTCGCGTGCCATAGGGGGGGAGTGCAGGGGTGGGCATGGACGGGCATGCTGCACCCATAATGCAACGGGTGCCCCCCCCAGTGTGCATGCGTGCATGAGGTGCTCCCCCCCCATTTTTCCATGTTTTTTTTGCCCTCCCCAGGCTCCAGAGGCTTTATAGGAGCCTGGGGAGGGCGAAAACAGCCCCCCGTCCCCCAGAGGCCCTCCGGAAGGTCCCCGAACCCTCCAGAGGGCTTAAACTGACTCTCCGAGCAAACCGGAAGTCACGTCAGGTCCCTGAAGCCTCTGGAGGGCTTAAACTGACCCTACAAGCAAACCGGAAGTCTATTCCCAAATTTCCCGTTTGCCCATAGGGCCCTTTTTTTGCGCTCTGGAGGCTTCAGAGAAGCTCCTGTACAAATGGCTTTCCAGTCTCTTCTTAAAAACTTCCAGTGATGGAGTAGCCACAACCTCTGGAGGCAAGCTGTTGCATGGGTTAATTGTTCTTACTCTCAGGAAATTTCTCTTTTATTTCTAGGTTGTTTCTCTCCTTGATGAGTTTCCATCCATTCTTGCTTGCCCTGCCTTCAGGTGCCTTGAGGAGCCCCTGAAATATTGGAAGATCATGTTGTGGCAGTCTTTTTAAGAGCAAGATTTGAGAGGTAATCTTGGGGAAGAAATCATGAAAACTCCCAGACATGCCAAAACCCAGAGAACTGGAGTTCTCTTACAAATCAAAGATAATATTATTTCGGAGTAGAGTTCCGTGTCAACCAGGCTACATTTTCTTCCCATTCTCTGAAGTTACTTTTCTGGAAGAAAAACAAGTTGTTCACATTTTTCCAGAGACAGCCCAGCCCAGCCCCTGTTCTAAACAAGGAGCTTGTCTTCAGCATAAAACATGTGATTTATCAGGACCTACCTGTTGGGTGGGAGAAGGTGACAAGCAGTGTTCAAACACCAAGGTGTGGTCCTCACAAAGGTCTTTGCACATTGATCCTGAAATGATTCCTTTGTTGTATTGATCACACTGAAAGAGAGAGAGAGAGAGAGAGAAATCCTGAGCATCTTTTTGGCTAGGAATCATGTGTACTTCCTGTCTTATAAACTCAGGTGATAAATATTTTATGTACTTAACAATAGTGAAAAACTGCTTCCATCAATTTAAAAAAAAGGACTCGGGGCAATTTATCACTTATTAAATGGAGGTAGTCCTCAAGTTACAACAGTTCATTTAGTGATTGTTCAAAGTCACTGAAAAGAGCAACTTACGACCATTTTCACACTTATGACCATTGCAGCATTCCCATGGTCACGTGATCAAAATTTGGACACTTGGCAACCAGCTGTGGCCCGCCGGCAGAGCTGGCAGCAGATTTGGACAGTGAGGAGGTTGGGGAGGAACATGGGCCAGTCCTGGAGTCCAGGGAAGGCTCTGAGTCAGAAACAGATTTTGCCAGGGCCATCCGACATTTATCAGCTGTCTTCGGAGTCAGACCTCAGTGGGGCAGAAAAACAGCTGGAGCCTGTTCCCAAAGTGCGCATGAGCAGAGTTGCCAGGAGAAGGGAACAGCTAAAGAACAGGGGTCAGCTTGGGAGTAAAGCCACAGGTGGATGGTGAACGGCCCCTCCCAGAGGAAATAAAAGAGGAGCAACAGGGGAGTGGAGTTTGCAGGAGACCATTAGTTCATTCCTGCATGCTTGCCTAGTGTTGCATGGCCTCTCTCCAAGCCTGATAAAGGTCGGTAATTGTGAACTATCTTGAAAGACTGCAGGAGAGGAAAGACTTCGCTGGAGAGGAATTCATTGTAAATTAAATAAAAGGAGTTTATCGGGACAAGGACTCAGCTTCGTGCTGCTGGGGAAGCCTTGGTCAGGAGAAGTTCATACTTATGACGGATGCAACATCCCAAGGTCATGAGATCCCCTTTTGTGACCTGGCAAGCAGATTCAGTTAACAACGATGCTACTAACTTAATAAGTACAGTGATTCACTTAACAATTGTGGCAACAAAGGTCATAAAATGGGACAAAACTCACTTAAAAATGTCTCACTTAACAACAGAAATGTGGGCTCCATTCTGGTTGCAAGGAGCAGAATGTAGGAGGAGGAGGCTGGTAGCCCCTTTTCCAACACAATTTATTAAATGTTTTTGAGATAAATGGAAGTGTTAGACCAGTGTTTCCCAACCTTGGCGCCTTTAAAATGGGTGGACTTCAACTCCCAGAATTCCCCAGTCAGCATTCTGGAGAGTTGAAATCCACCTATCTTAAAGGCGCCAAAGTTGAGAAACTCTAGTCTAGATTTTATTATTTTACTAGCTGGATACCCATGCGTAGCTATGAAACGATGTGATCGGACTTGATATTTAAACCTTGAAACTTAATGTAGAATGTGTAACTTCCTAGCATTAGAGCGTGTTAACATAAGGCAACTGGCAGTTGGAACAGAATTCTTTTCAAGTGGGGAGGGGGAGTAGAATGTCTAACCCCTTAGCATCAGAGCATGTTAATACAATACTGTATAAGAAATATTAATTATCTGATAGTCATTTTGAAAAATCCTTTTTTAGCAAGCACCTAAAAGCCAAGAGGAATATATAAGCCAAATTTCAAGTTTGTAGGCTTTATGGTTCTGGAGATTTTGTGATGAGTGAGTGGTATTTGCCTTTTATATATATAGATTTATTTATTTATTTATTAGATGAGAATATGACAAAGAGAAATAAACATATATGCACAATCCACATAATTATATACAAAAACTTCAGCAGAGCCTCATGACAGTGAATTTTTGCCCCATTTTTCAACCTTTCTTCCCACCATTGTTAAGTAAATCAGTGCAGAAAAGTTAATAATATGGTTGTTAAGTGACTCTGGCTTCCCCATTGACTTCTTTCCTGTTTTGGGGAGCAAAAATGGACCCTACCACTACATTTCCGGAGAACCTGTAGAAAAAAAATACTTTAAAAGTTTTTTTAAAAAGTTCCGAAGATCAGTTGTGCGACATGCGATGATGGTTGGAACTTTTTTAAAAACTTATTTAGCCCGAACTGGTAGCATTTCACGCCTGAGCCCCTCCCAAGAGAAACACTTACAATGATCGCCTGGCAGACGTGCCCCCGGCAGAGCTCGGAGTAGGACGAATAATGCATGTAGACCATCCAGCTGCCCACAAAAATGCCCAGCCAGGCAAAGAAGAGGTACTTCACTTTGATCCCAGGAAGACGGCTCTGATAGGAGAGAAAGAAAGCAAAGGGGGTCAGCAGCACATCCCAACAGCTACAAGGCGCCATTCCAGATGTCTCTGGATGCAATGGAGGGTGGAGCCTGGGCTGATCTCAGAAGCTAAGCCAGATGGGGCTAATTCCCCAGGGGAATTCTGGGAGTTGAAGTCCTCCAGTCTTAAAGTTGCCAAGGTTGAAGACCCCTGCCCTGGAAGAAAAATAAGAAATCTAAGAAGTGCAATTAAAAGTTTAACTGGGAAAAGTTTAACTTAAAAGGAGAAGGTAAAATTAGTAATATGGAAAATAGTTTTTTGGAATATAATTATTAATGCCACTGATATTGAATGGGGTTTGCTCAAATGCTGAAATACATCATGCAAAATAGAGACTGGAAGGGAGAAAAAAAGAGAGGGAAAGAGAGAGAGCAGACAGGAGAAAGGGAAGCAGAAGGGAGGAAGGAGAGAGGGAAGATGTGGAAAAAGAGAGAAGAGAGGAAGAGAGCAAGGGGAAGTAGAGAAGACAGAGACGGCAGAGGGACGAAAGGAGATAGGAAGGAGGAGAGAGGGAGAAGAGAAGGGTTGAAGATGAAATAGCCTAAAATACGGTGTATGGAAAGCAGAAGAGCAAATAAAAATTGATGGGGCTTGATGGCAAGAGGAATTGATATATCATTGAATATTTTTAAAAAATGTTTGTTAAGATGTAATGGTATACTTTGATATAGATATAGATATAATATCTATGTTAAAAAATAAAAATAAAAAACTTTAAAAAAAAAGTTTAACTGGGAGCATCTTCAACTTTGGGTTGTGATGGAACGTTCTGGCTGGATTCCTTCATAGAATAAGCAGAGTTGAAAGGTAACTCAGAGGTCTTCTAGTCCAACCTCCTGCTGAAGCAGAAGACTACTTTGTCCAATTTCAACTTGAACACCTGACTTCCCACCAAACAAAAGGAATCACAAAGGGCCCCCGTTTTTCCCTAGCTAGGGTATTGTGTGAGTCCAGTCCTTGCGCCAAACAATTCAGAAACCGCAGTGGTTTGATGCCTGTCTTTGAACTGATTAATTGCTTGATTAAATCACTTTAAATGTAATTTGCATACAAAGCAGGAGGACATCTGTCCTAGGGGACAGATGTTAACCAAAAAGCAGACAGTGTGTTCTCTCAACAGAGTAATGCATAAGCATTCGACCAGCTCTCTTGCCAGCTTGGTTCCCTCCACAGATGTCCATCTGGTGTCCCTATCACAAATCTTTGGTCCACGGCAAGCAAGAACCACAACCTGCCACAATGAAGATGACACCCTTTTACCATTGTGCTAACGATTGTAGATTTCATTTGCTTGGCCTCTGTTTTCCTAACCTGCCAGCCGTAATCTCCCAAAGCACTTTGAATGAATTTCAATGTGGAGAAAAGCAAAGTTTTACATTTAGGCAGGTGTAAGTACAGATTAGGCGAAACCTGGCTCACAAACATTTTTTTTCCAGCCTGGATGGACTCATTTCTGTTCAGAGGACTTTGCTGCCTTCCCTGTCCCTGCTCAGTGTCTCTGAATCCTCCTTAATGCAGAACTGCAATATTCACAATGGGACCTGATTAATAAAGCAGAATAAAGTGAAATGATTATGCCCTATAAGGTGATGATTATGCTCTGCTGTTGCAGCCTAAAATTACATTAGGTTTTCGGGCATCCAGATGAGAGAGCTGACTCAAGAGAGGTGTGAGGGTAACCCAGGGGCATCTTCCATCTGTGAACACCTGTCCATCTGAGGTTGTCCTTTTAGCAAAGAATATTGCTTTTGATTTTTTGGGATGTCATTCTGTTCCTTTCAAACTATCTCTCTAAACCTTTGAAGATTTTTCTGAGTATCATTTCTGCCTGCTAGAATGTGAATCATGGAAGATTTTTAAGGTGAGGTTAGACAGCCATTTATCCAGAATGGTGTAGGGTCTCCTGCTTGAGCAGGGCGTTGGACTAGAAGACCTCCAAGGTCCCTTCTAACTCTGTTGTTCTGTTAAGAGAAACAAAGATTATCAGGGATCCGGAGGCAAAACTGAATGATGAATGGTTAAGAGAACTGGACATGTCTAATCTCTTTTGATCAAATGTAACTCTGAACAATCACTAAATGAAGTGTTGTAACTCGAGGACTATCTGTACAGTTATAGTTGTGACTCCACTCCGCAGTTGCATCCTAAAAATGATAGGGATAATTTCCAGGCGAGCACAAATCCTGACCGTTCCTGGTAGGAAGTGCACAGTTTAAAAAAGAATTTGTGGGAGGAAAGGATTGCCAAGGACTCTGGCTTCCTTCCCATTGTGACCCCTGCAAAAAGGAAGCATTGTGTTCCCAAGAACAAACAACTTTTTATCTTTAACTAGCTGAATACTCGTGCTCCGCTATGATATTATGTGATCGGGCTTGATAAATCGACACTTAACAGCTTGAAAATAAATGAGTAGTTACAATCTGGCCTCTCCTCTCCCCTTCTCTCCCTCAGGCTTGCCCTGTTGATCCTCTCCTATCCCCTTCTCTCCCTCAGGCTTGCCCCACAGAATCCTCTCCTCTCCCTTTCTCCCCCTCAGTCTTGCCTCGTTTATCTTCTCCTGTCCCCTTCAGGCTTGCCTCACAGAGGCCTATCCTATCTTGTCCCCTTTTCTCCCTCAGTCTAACTCAGCATCAGAGCATTTTTCAGGTGGGGAGGGGGAGTAGAATGTCTAAACCCCCAGCCTGAGGGCCGGATGAGTCACGCGCTGGCCATGCCCAAGTGGCAGTTGGAACAGAATTCTTTCAGGTGGGGAGGGGGAGTAGAATGTCTAAACCCCCAGCCTGAGGGCCGGATGAGTCACGCGCTGGCCATGCCCAAGTGGCAGTTGGAACAGAATTCTTTCAGGTGGGGAGAGGAAGTAGAACGTCTAACTTTTAAGCATCAGAGAAAGATAGTAATACTATAAGAAATACTAATGATCTGATGGTAATTTCGAAAAATCCTTTCTTAGTGAGCACCTAGAAGCCAAGAGGAACATATGTGCTGAATTTTAAGTTTGTAGCCTCTACGGTTCTGGAGATTTCGTGATGAGTGAGTGGTATTTGCCTTTT